CTCCCCCCGCCATTGTGCAAAATCAGATTAAATGTCCCCAGAGTTTCTCACCTGACTGTCCCTTCTGCCTACTGCTTTGCTTAAATATATATTATTATTATTATTATTATTATTATTATTATTGTTGCTATTTAAAAATCATCATCATAAAGACTAAAAGAAAAGTAAAAGCATATTTTCTTCAAAATATAATTCTTTCTACCCAAGGCTTCATAAAACACACATGCCTGTCAAACTGTTACATTTTTGATCCTCACAACCAGCCTAGAAGGTGGTGGCATCACCAAGAGAGAGGAAGGCTATGCTATGCACACAGCTGAGCATGCTGCTCATTGCATGGGGGTGGGGGGGCAATCAGGCGAGTCAGTGGACCATACCCACCCTGAGGAAAGAATCCCCATTTTAGAAAATTAATATTTTTGTAATTCTTTGAGACCCAGTGTACTTGGATCATTTTCACCCCCCAACTCCTCCCCTTAACTTTCCCCAGACCTACTACCATCTTCCTTCCCACCCCAACTTCGTGTCCCATTGTAATTTATTATTATTGCTGTTGTTTCATATCCCATCAACTCTTAAGTTATGACGTCCATATAGCTCTAGGTGTGGGACCATCCACTGGAGTATGGTAGACTTCCAGGAGCTACACCCTTGAGAAAAACTAACTCTCCCTCCCTAAGAAGCCACAAACTGTCCATAGTCAGTCACTTAGGGAGGCTCATGAACCCCTTTCCACTCCATGATAAAATGCTGAGTATCTAATAGCTGTCTGACTGCATCAGGGAAGTGTTTTTTGGAAGTAGACGGTGGTTAACACAGAAACTCACAACTAGTCAAATTACAGAGCATAAGGGACGGTGGAGTGCACATCAACACACACACACACACACACACACACACACACACACACACACACACACACCAAGTCTCAGAGAGACCATTTAAATAGAAAGACTGTGAGGAGAACCAGAAGAAAACTGTCTTCTGGACACGACAGGAATTTACACTCATAAGTCACAGCAGCTATAGCCACCTACAGGAATTCCTTTTTGTTGATATTAATTGTTTGGTTTGGGGTTTTCTGGGACAGGGTAGGTAGCTCAGTGGCCACAAGTGTGTGATGACCATCCTGCTTCAGACTCACCACCGCTTGGGTTACAGGCATGAGTCACCACACCTGGGTCACTCCATATTTCTTAAAGGTGCCAAACATTTAGCTACTATCATCTTATAAGAACTGCATCAGATGCTGACTGAATGTACTTATATAAGTGATCTCAGCCACACCACATGACACACTAAATCCAACCACATGAGCTCAGTCAACCCACAGAACCACCAGAATTAAAAGCCTGTCACTAGGCAAGGCCACTAAGTTCTGGCATAATTTGTTGCACAGAAACGGCTAGCAACTGCTGTGTGCCACGGTCACACATCCAAGCTAAGCTTCATATTAGACACAAGGATCCACCCCGAAGAACAGACCCTGAGAGGCAAATGAACCAAAGGCAAAGCTGAGCCTTGAGCCACTGTCCTCCTCACATCATCCTCTGAGTGGCCACTGTGTCAGGGCTGGAAGTACAGATTGCTGGTGAGACATGGGCTTCCCATCCACATGGGCTGGGATCCTGGCTCTCCTACCTGTTGGCTGGGGGTGCTTAAACAGTTACTTAGACTTCGCTGAGCCTCAGTTTCCCCACAGTGTGAATGAGTCCGTCATGATGACTTCTTAGACTGCTTGGAGGAGTAGAGATGATACTGTATTATTCAGAGCAAATGCCCACATGTATACACACAAATGCATGCATGTATGTGCATGCAGAAACACACAGAGAGAGAAGGGAAGGAGGGGGAGGAAGGGAGGGAGGGAGAGAGGGAGGGAGGGAGGGAGGGA